CTCTGGTTATCTTGCTCTGTAGGCCAGCGGCTGGTTAGCCCAGGTGTGTCCAATGAAACATCCTCCATCATGGTGGAATCTGTGACCAGGTCAACAACGGATACCTGCTATAGTGCCATTCCCAGATCTTCATCTGATGCAAGCAGAGTGATCTCCACGGGAGCAGGGCTCTCTAGAGCTTTCGTGGGCCAGAAAAACACATTTTCTGTCGACTGCAGCAAAGCTGGTAACTTCCTTTTTTTAAAAAATAATAAATGTGGGTTTCTATTACTGGTCCAGTGACCAAAGACCTGAGCTTCTCCACCTTCTAAGTGTCCACTAAATCTTTAGTGCCTCTTTCGCCCCAGAGAAAAGTATTCAGTTTCCATTGGCAGTGGAATGTTGGATCTCCCACCGCTTTACAAAGCATTTAAGAGCATCTAAAGCAGGCTTTCCCAAACTTGGGTCTCACGTCTGTTTTTGGACTACAACTCCCATCTTCCCTAGCTAGCAGGTCAGGGACGATGGGATTTGTAGTCCAAAAACAGCTGGAGAGGCAAGTTTGGGAAAGCCTGATCGAAAGATGAACTTCTAAGAAAAGAACTAGAATTCTTTGTCTTGCACAGGAGTCAGCAAGGTTTACTTGATGAATTTTGCCCAGTGATTTTTCTCTGCAGAAATACCTTGCCCTGCAAATAGCATTATCCTCCATGAGTAGCATACTATTAAAGACTACAGACCGTAATGGCTGTGTTCCACTGTGGGAGGCAGTATGTCTCTGGACCCAAGTATGGGACTCTCAAATGGGGAAAGTGCTGTGAATTCAGATTCTGCATCCCAACTTCCCATAGGCACCTGTTTGGCGGAAACAGGGCGCTGGGTTAAGTGAGCCTTTGGCTGATCTAGCAAGGCTCTTAACTTTGAGTCTGATTAGTCAAAATACTTAGTAAAGCTAGATTGGAGCTGTTTGAATTTGGGGTGTGGTAGTAACGCTCTTCATTCTGCCTTAGGTTCAAATATGTTGTTAGTTGGTGTCCATGGACCTACAACTCCTTGTGAAGAAGTATCTGTGAAACACCTTGGGAACCAACAGTACGGTGTAAAGTACGTTGTCAAGGAGAAGGGTGACTATATTCTAGCCGTGAAGTGGGGTGAAGAACACATTCCTGGAAGCCCCTTCCACGTTACAGTTCCCTAAGTTCGTATTGTTTCAAAACATTCAGCTCTGTTCAAGTGAAATCCGAACAATTCAATACTGTGAGCATTCCTGTGAGAAATAGAGTATACCTTCATGTATACAGAACACATTTTTTTAATGCACCCCAACTTAAATTCTGCAACTTTTTAAAAGTGTTCTATTTGTCTTAAGCATCCCTCCTATACAAATGTAAACCAATGTACCTTTCGGATCGATATGCAATCATGTAACAAGGTCACTATCCTTTTTGTGGATTTTAGAATTTACATGTTAAACTGGAATTTGTGTTTGATAATTGGGTAGCTTAAACTACTGACTTTTGATGGACATTTTTTAGACTGGAAACTTTTTAAATTTAGCTGTAGAAAATCACTTTGGCTATTGCCAGTTAAAGTTCTTCTGTAAAGAAAATGAGGTAAAACTGGTACTTACTGTGCCTTTTGTATACTTGATTTTTTTTTAAAAAAAAGTAACATTGAAAACTCTCAAGCGTTACAGCTAAACACTAAAACACCATAACAGAAAGCTTGGCTGTTTACATTAGCAGAAAATGAAAACTGCAAGGGGTATCAAACTGTTCCTGGAAGTCTTTGCCTCTTTTGTTGTGTACAGTTACGATGCTAGCTTACTTTAACCATGATTGTTGTGATTGACAGGATGCCAAATCAGCTGATATTCTGCCACAGGTGCATTTTGCTGACACACAGTGGGTGCAACATGCAGGAACCCAGTTTCTCCCAAGCTTGTTTCTGCACTCGGTGTAAAATTCATGCTTGTGCAACTCACACGTTGGCTATGCTAGAAAGATGTTTATCTCCAGCACACGAGGCTCTTAGCTGAGTAACAAAAAGTAGCTTCTGACTTGCTCATCGTCTCCCTGATCATGATGATGTGAAAACTAGCCTAGTTAGTCAGACAATATTAAGTGTACCTCTGAATGTTTCTGCTAATGGTGCGAGTTTATTGAGCCTGTTCATGCACAAAGTGTTTATCCCCTTCATTGTTTTGGGATAAGGGAATGAGCACATGGCCATTCCAGATTTCAAAAGACATTCCACGTATGCAACTAATGGTTACTACAAAACTCCTGTGGCTTTTAGCAGATTCTCTCTTTCTCAAAGAGCTTTAAATGTGCCTAATGGAAGAAGAGACTTGATGGAAATTTGTTCCCTCTGTTTAGAGAAAGATTTCTACTTGGTCAGCTTTATTTTTGTAGTAGTATATCAGTGCACTAAGTCTGAGCACAGCTTCTTGGAGGAGGAGCTAGAGTAACAAGACATCCCTTTTTCTTTTCTTTTTTTACTGTGCTGTGTGCCTTAATGTGAAATGCTCACTACATTGTAAACTATAAGGAAAAGCAGAATAAACTGGAATAATTGCAAGATTGTAATATTGTATCCCATAACTTATTAAAAACCATGAATGTTGGCTTCATGAAATAAAATGTGCATGTTAAAAACAAACTCAGGTGGGCTTCTAAGTATTTTGTTTTGTTTTGCCATGACTCATGTCTGTCTAAATGGACTAACTTGTATTGTACCTGCATCAAATGTCATTCCTGCTGGTGGTTTTTTTATTATTTAAAATAGGAACTGAAACCTCGAAATAGCATAAGGCAACAAAGTGCCTTACAGTAGTACGGAGATCTTGAACATGGACCATAATTGGCAATGGTAAAAGCAGATGTGGTCTTTAGTTCATCATGCATGATTTTAAACACACTGGCTTCCTAGCTCTTAAGACTGTCTCTGTGGCTGAGTTAGGTATGCTCTGTCTGTTCCACAGATTTTTACACTAAATATTCTAGGTCTTGTGCTGTGAAAACAAGCTAGCCCTTGGTCAAGTATTTAGCTCTTAAGCCTCCTACTTGTTTGCGTGGCTCTGCCGAAGTCTACCCCTAATCCCTAAAATCATTTGGTTCTTGCCATGCCATTGAAAGGCACTCTGGAGATCTGAATTTTGGGGAGGGGGTGTAGTTCAGTGGTAGAGTATACACTTTGCATTCAGAGGATTCAAGTCCTGGCTTCTCCAGATAAAGACCACGTAGCAAATTATGTAAAAAAAATTTTTCCCTCAGAACTGCTGTCAGTTGACCGTAGCCAGCTTTCATCTAACCCAGTGCCTTCCTGTTTTTTTGGACTACCAACTCATTTGCACCCCAGTTATCATGGCCAATGGTTGGGATGGTGGGAGCTGGTAATACAAAACATTGGGAGGGCACTAGGTTGAAAAAGTCTGATCTGTGTTGACATGGAAGCAGCTCATCAGCATTTTAGTCAGGAGTTTTTCCAACCTGCTCTGGAAATGCCAGGAATGTAACCCAAGATTTCTGCTTGCATAGAATGCACCCTTCTTCTGAGCTATGGGTGAAAGGGACAGTGTATGTGGAATTTATCAGTCTTTGTAACTAGCGCTACCATCGAACCAGAAGTAATGGTTGCTGTTTTTGTTTTGTTTGCAATTTTCTTTTTTCGCTGCTAATATTCTTCCACTGTGGCCCTAGCTTAAAAGGGCTGTGCCATGTTTTCTAATAGATGTCAGATTCTCACATCTGTGGGCAGTTAATAGCTAGAGCTACATACAAAAGCTTTCACTGTTTTCCATGCCACTCCTAGGCACACACCACAGTTTCAAAGTTCAGTGTTATGAATTTGTTCAGAATATTCTCTCTCCTCTTTATATTAGTTTACTCACTATGTACTCTTTGAAACTTGGGTGGAGGCCTGGCATTTGAATCTTATAATTTATGGCTTAACTCCAGAGGTCTAAAACTTTCCCATTTCTTTATGGGTGTGGTAGTTCTTGCATTGCGATGAAAGCATTAGAGGAGGAAACCAAATGGCTGGCATGGAGTTCATCTCTATACAGCTGCCTTACCCATCTCTCGGCTACAAATGCTTTTGATTCTGTTATTTTAAGATGCTTTGCTTTTAAAGGGCAACTGCTCAAATTAAGACCACGGGACAAGAAAGATAGAGGGAGTACCTTTGCATGCATTTTAATTTCCTCTCTGTAGCTGTGTGCTATATACATTTCTCTGAAAAAGATTTATCCCCCTACTGTGCTACCTTTCAGCTATCACTATGACTACTGCATTGTAAGGCAGGGGGCTTTTAAAAAGGTGTTTGAATTCTTTGTGTAACACACAGAGAGCCAGTCAAAACTTGCCTGCTTTGGGGCTGTATTACGCACCCAAACCCCAGGGTGGGTTTTGAGCAAGGGCACACAGCCAGTTTTGTGGTTTCAGAGAGAGAAATCACAGGCACCACATGGAATGGTAGCCAATCTAACTTTTTGTGGCTTCCGCTGAGTTTGGCTTTGATTTTCTTTGGGTTGAGTCCAATGCAACTTAAAATCGGGGAAATGAAGATTGGCAAATCCCCTGCTTGCTTGTTGCACAACTTGCATTCAAGATGGACTGCTAACTTCCAACCAAGTGTTTTTGTTAAATCACTATTTGCATGTGTGCACACTCGCGTGTGTCTCAGGTGTAAATATTCTCTAGTCAGCACAAGTGGGAAGGGTGAGGAGGGCAAGGTTCTTTACTTTCAGTTTGATTTACGAGCTCTACAGTTACAAAGCCCCAGCTAGGTTGTAAGGTAACTAATTCCACCTGTCAGGCATTTGTAGCTGCAAAGAAGCCCACCTGAGGTTTTCAACATTTCACCAAAAACAAACCCTTCCAACGCAGCTTTATGCCTTGTAGTCACCTAGTTGCAGGAGGTGTGTGTGTCAGAGAGAGAGAGAGAGAGCGCACACAGGCCCTGTTCAGAAGCTGTAATTTGAGAAGAGCTTCACTGGCCCTTTTGTGTATGTTTCCTTGGACACCAGAGGCAGGAAGTAACATTTGCCAAGCACACGGTGGTCACCACACAGACTCTGCCATCTCTCTGGGGCCATGAGGGGCCTTCTGACCACGCGGGAGCAAAATGGCTGGAGGGAGCTTATTAACAAGGAGGCCTCCTGCAGGGTCAGCTGGAAGGCAAAATACGGGTACAAATACCCCGGGCGGGTGACTGACTATGGGGTGGCCAAGAGGAAGTGTTTCTTGCCTGCCATCTGCCCTCCTGAGAAGAGTGCAAGCTCCCTCCGGTGTCAAGAAGTAACTGTGCAAAAAGAGGACAGGCGGCCCCTGTCGGGCAAGGAGGAGAAGCAGGAGGAGGAAGGCCCAAGCCTTCAGGAGCCTCTTCCCGAGATGAGAGTTCCCACACCACAGACAACTCAGCTGCTATACCAGGGCTTCTCCCATGAAGGCAAAGGGAGGCACCACTACCTCAAGCAGAGGAAGATGAAGAGCCCTGAGGAGAAATTCTGCTACCCAGTGCTGTCGTCGTGGGAATACGGCTGGCGCTTAGGTAAGAGTAATGAACCAGTAATGGCTATTGCATGGATCCCAGAGCACGAGAGGCATGCAGTAGGCTTAAGAGAATGCTTCACCAGTGACAAGAAATATTTCAAGTTGCTTCTGCCTCCCCTGCTTTAATTGTCTTTGTGAGGGGAAATTATTAGGGTGGAATGCAGTGTAGCGCTGTCTGTTGTCCATATGTAATCTCCCCTGCCATGACATGCTTAAATTTGTTGTAGGACTTCCCCTGATCTCTAGCAGATTTGGGAAGGCACAGGGCACTAACAGGATGTGTCCCTGACAGCTGTCTGTCTTTCCTTATGCACATATGCCGGCTCCTGAACAGCCTTAATTATGGTGGCCCACTTACACATTGGCAAAAACCTGAGGAAATGTATCTCCTCAAAAGAGGCCAGAAATCAGTGCAGTATTTAGCATAACGTAATTTATATGTTTGCAAATTTGAAAATAATTAGTATAGGTCAAATGGGAAGACTGTGACCAGGTGGCCTGTGTGCCTGCAGTCCAGGTATCAATTGTTGATTGACAACTCCATTGACGTCTGTCTCTTTTGGAGCAGACTGTTCTTCAGTAGAGGACTGTCCTCTCTAAGGTAGGCTGCATGGTCACCCCCTTTTAAGCTTCGTTCAAAAACACATTTTGAGGTGCGGGAGCTAAATTGCAGCTTCTGCTTGCTCTAGTTGCCCTATGCCTGCCTTTCTATCTGTTACCACTTAGCAGCCTTCCTGTTTCATTCTGCATCAGCCCCCAGCAAACCACTGAATTGCGAGCTAAGCATTATTCGTGAGTCACGGTGACAGAAGCCAATCTAGTTCTGTATGCCAGAGTCTGAATAATGTTTCATTTGCTTACAGGGTGACTTTGCACTGAGCGTAAGTGTCAAGAAGAAATACAAAACAGTAAGAACTAACTAGAGTGAAGCTGGTGGTGTTTGCCTGGGATGACGCCACCTTTACAGGCCCCACTTCAGAGTCCAAATCCCCATGCAGTCATGAACCTTTGGTCAGGCACCATCTCTCTGCCTAACCTGCCTCATAGGATGGTTGCGAGGATAAAATGGAAGGAGGGGGAAAGCCACATTTAAGCTCCTTGGAGGAAATGCCTGCCTGCCTCCCCCTGAATGGTAGAAATTGAAGCTTTTAAGATAAAATGATGGGCAAGGGTGCACCTGCTGAATTTCTGTATAGTCTGCTGCTATTATAGACCGAGAAAAAGTTTGCCATCATCTAAGCCAGGCATAGGCAAACTCTGCTCTCCAGATGTTTTGGGACTACAACTCCCATCATCCCTAGCTAACAGGACCAGTGGTCAGGGATGATGGGAGTTGTAGTCCCAAAACATCTGGCGGGTCGAGTTTGCTTATGCCTGATCTACGCATTTATATCTTTTATTAATAGTGGAACTAAGCTGCTGTTTTGTGCATTATTGTTTTATGGAGCAGAGTTTTGTTCAGTGGGAGCTATAAAGCATTGCAGCTCTTCAGATCTATCAGCCTCATTCCAAAAGACCCAAACAGGTTTTAGTGCTTTCTACTTCAGTTAAGAGCACATGTTGGCTTTAGCCAATTGTAAACGCAGGCAGAACTACCTGAGCAGCCCCGGGAAGACGATGTAGTCACCTCAGCTACAGGTGGTGAACTCATGATGATTTGCATGGCAGTCAGTTAAATGCCTGTTGATGATTTCACCAAATCCAGGAAATGGATGACAGGTTTATACTGCTCCTTGCTTATCAGTTTACAAATTGTGACTGTTCTGTAAGGGAATCTGAAAATCACATCATGTGGCAGCTGGCATTCTGCTCAAAATGGGCTTTAGGTTATCTTAGGCATGCAAATTGTAATGCTCAATTACACATTTATTTTTCCAGGAGACGTGGTTAAGGACATGAGGACACCAATTCATGGCAAATCCCGAATTGTAAAGGATACTTTCTACTTCAAAAACGGAATCTTCTATCATCCATCAAAAACTGACAAGCTGTCATGAATATTATTGCTAAGTGACATGTGGAAATGTTTGTGCAATGTTGCCTAGCATGGGTATTTGTTGTGGTATTGGATCAGACAACCCTCTATAATTACTTCCCTCCATAATTACTCTTTCAGATTTAGAACTTGCTTCTAGCCTTCCTTTCCCTGTAGCATGTAGCACTGCTTCTTGTGTAATAGATGCACAGCACCTATCATTCTGGCAGAGTAACTTACTGGGTTCTGTGTCAAGGATGTGGATACAACCTTGCATACATTTGGGACCAGAGTCTGATTTAGAGCCAATTAATTCATATGGCTCTTGTGATGTTTCTTGTGATAGTTTCCTTTTGTGGTGACACTTTGAAAGAAGACCTGCCGTAGGCTGATTTTTTTTTAAAAGCACCTATCACAGTTTATACTAAGATGAAGTTAGAGAACTGCTTTGAAATTCAAAAAGGGTGCAGGTCTGTAACAAAAACTTTTGTGACAAAGTATTCCCAGTTCTCCAGGTAGTGGATCTATGAAAGACCTTTGACTGAGGCCTTGGAGGGCAACTGGCAGTCAGAGTAAACAGTATAGGAGTAGATGGACCAAGTCTGCTCCATTAGTGATTGGGTACATTATCGTATTCTTCCCTGGAGGTTGTGTGAGCTGTTGTATTGGTTCTTAGTCATGGGGTGGAGTACCACAATGACTTTACTATTTTCACTCATGGGAGCGAACCCATCATTCACTTGTATAATAAAGGTAGACTATGAGGAATTTATAGCTGCAATTATGTGTATGTCAGACATGGGTATGCTGATCAGCTGATCAGTCATGGAGACAACGAACTCATGGTGAGCAAAAATTCACAGGACACAGCCCTCGGAGATGGGCAGCTCTGTGGCTTTTGCTATTTTTCCTAGACGTCTTCAGGCATGGATGTGACTGACTTGTGAGAGTACCCTGGTTTCTTTAAAAGATCGTGTGAGAAAGCCATGCTTTGCTGTGTGTCATATGCACAGCAAAGCTCACATTGAGCAGGAAATTGATCCATGAGCCAAGGTTGCTGCCTGCAGGGGACAGAGGCCCCCAAGTGAGGTGAACCTGGGGCTACAAGAATTCCCTTGTTTTTCTAACAGTTATTTTCAGATATGTGATTCCCCACTCCATAGAATAGTCGTGACCGCCTCAGAATGCCCCTTGTTTCGAAAGCTTTTTGCTGACAGGCCTCCATTGCTCCCAACTGCTGCGTTACAGACAGGAGAGTGAACAAAAGCTCTGTTGTTACTCGCAGCTCAAACAAGCCTGGCTGAAAAACATGAGATTTAAAATTAAAATGGGGGTTTGTGTGGGTGCTCATGCTCATTTTAAGGGTGCATATAAGGCAGGCATGCTTTTCAAGGTTGTCTCCACAACTATGACATACAAGTATTTTATATGAAAATTGAGATACCCGAAAAATTGAAGGTGCCCCATGGAGCCAAGACAAACTGTGCTGCTGCAACTCACAGCTTGTGTTACCCTCATTCTGTATACACTCATACAACGGACTTTGTAACTTCAGCTACTCTCCCTATTTGATCCGGAACCAGGGTGGTGATAATTTTTCTTTCTTTCTTGGCTTTGTTTGCTTGAGAAGTCGAAGAGATCCAGTGACTCACTGCTCCACAGAGACCACTTGACTAGAACAAAATAGCATAAAACAAGAGAGCTGCAAAATAAATTTAGTGAATGGAACCATAAATTTATGTGTGCTAATGTATCTAAAAGGTGGCTCTTTTTCAAGTATATGTGAATAATTTCATAGTGTCTTATGTCTCACTTGACTGAAATTTGATAGTAACATGAAATATACTTTCAGTGTTGTGATTTACTACAGGAATGTTGTCCAATGGGCCAGCAGGGAATAAGGAATGAAAATTTCAGTCCGTGTGTGATATATATTGCTGATATTTTATCTGCTCTCAGTAAAGCCACAACTTAGTCCTGCTATTCAGCTTATGCCGATCCATGGACTGAATAAGAGGCTGCGTCTAGACCAGGCACCCCCAAACTCGGCCCTCCAGCTGTTTTGGGACTACAACTCCCATCATCCCTAGCTAACAGGACCTGGTCCTGTTAGCTAGGGATGATGGGAATTGTAGTCCCAAAACAGCTGGAGGGCTGAGTTTGGGGATGCCTGGTCTAGACCAATACTTACCCCATTTCATTTTGGTTTTAGGCTTCACCATCTCTTTGCATTTCTCTGGACAGGGCTCAGGACAGATAGCAGTATGAGAATTATTCTACACCCTCCCTGACTAGCAGATGACAATTTAATTAAAAACATCTTCTGGATATATGGATGTAGGAAGCTGCCTGAATTCAGATCACTGGTCCATCTAGCTGAGTATTCTCTGCACTGGCTGGCAGCAGCTCTCCAGGGTTTCAGATGCTACTTTTTTCTAGCTGTACCTGGAGTTGTCAGAGATTGAACATGGGAATTTCTGCATTCAAAGCAGAAGTTCTACCACTGAACTATGGCCCTTTCTCATGCTTGGCCATTGGAAATCTCTTCCCCTAAAGACTCGCTTCCTCTAAAGACCCCTAAAGTTAAGGAAAAGCCACAGGGAGCTCCTCTTTCCGTGCAAAGCCAGTGAACTTAAGAGAACACATCAATTTCTGGGAATGCAAGTGTAGGATTTTATTTCCCCAAGCAATTTCTATATATGCATACACATGAAGGATGAATGAATGATTCACAGGAAGACCCACAGCCACCACGTAAGCAAATCAGGATTAACACTGTCATATAACTGCCCTGCAAACGAAGTGGAACAAAAGCAGGATGAATGTCCAATAAGCCGGTTGTCTGAATGAGCCCCACATCTGAAACTGCTTGCCTTATGTGGTTATGTTACCTTAGGCAGCATTTCAGCTAGGAAATGACATCTACATTACACGTAGATTTTGTATTTGAGAGTGCAGTATTATTTTGATGATGGGAAATAAAGAAAGAGGTGATCTCTAAGTTAAGCACAGCTTTCTTTGGAGGAGATCCCTTCAGAAATACGGACCAAGGAGGAAGCAGCATGATGGAGCCAAACTATTTTTTGGCATCCTAATCTATGGTGAGCCACCTATTTTAAAAGGTTATCAAAATAGCTTCACTGAAACTTGCTTGCTTATTTGTTTTGTCTTCCCAGAATTGGTAGTATTTCCTGCACAGGAATTTTTAAACAGAAGCAGGCCTTCATATCAAATCCTGCAATTAATTTGTCTAATTAGTTTACATAGAAGCTATAGCAAATATGCTTTTTAGTATTTTAGCCTTATTTTATAAAATAGCACATGCATGAACATTTAGTGGTGAGGGCTTGAAGCTGTGCTAATTTGTACAGGAGGAAGGGCGTTGTGAGGAGTCACTAGTAGAATGACAGGAGTGTTGTCTTTGGATGTGGGAAGCCATATTTTTAATCCCCCTTTAGCTATGAAGCTGCATGGGAGGCTTAGAAGTCAGACTAGTCAGGAAGCCAGAGAAGAAAAACAGCAAGAGGAAACTCCTGACTCTGTCCAGACACAACTAAGCCTAGTGCCACCTAGTGACTAAAGGTTATATTCAAAGAAGGGCTAAGTCACGTCCCTATTAGTGCAAGGATTTCTGCTTGAACAACAAAACTCACCCTGTGTGCCCCTTAAATTTGTTCTAGGGGTTCTGCCAACACCCTGGAGCAGATCTGGGGAGGGGGTGGGGGGTGGGGAGAGGGGAAAAGTCCCACTGCCCAAATAGATACCCATGCACTGTAGAGACACATTTATTGAAGGCCACCCTACAAAAATAGAATATACAGTGGTACCTCCGGTTGCGGACGGGGTCCTTTCCAGAGCTCCAGTCAGATCTTGAGGTTTCCGCAACCAGAGGTGCTGCTTCTGCGCACGTGTGCGGCACGAAAAAGCACTTCTGCGCATGCGCACATGGCGAAACCCGAAAATATACTTCCGGGTTTGCTGCATGCGTATCCTGAAGGATACGCAAGAAGAGGTGCACATAAGTAGAGGTACCACTGTAATCCCCACCATGAAATTTACAGTGAGTATGTAATTTGAAAGTAAAACCTATAGTCTAGAACGCTCATACACAATTAAAAAACCAAACCACTATTCTCTTCTGTGTTAACAATGATCAAATATTTGCACAAAGAGAATGGGAGAGGTTTAGAGGCATTTTAAACTTCACATAGCATAAACATTCCCAAGAATGTGAGCTGAGAACTAAGTGGTTCAAATGTCACAACTATAAATTGCACTAGGGGTGTCTTAGGCCAGGCACGATCTTGCAGCCTCAGCTTCCCCATGTGGAATGTGGGGATAATACTGACCTGGCCCAAGTAACAATAATCCTCTTACAGAGCAATCTTTTAGTTTGATGGGACTTATTCATTTGTGCATTTAAGATTGCAGCCTTTGCTAACCTACCTCACAGGGTTGTTGTGAGGCAAAATGAGAACCGAGTGTACAGTGCACTGAGCCATTTGAAGGATACAGGTGTGACACATAATGCTGAAGATGGGAGAGTTTCAATCCAGAAAAAGGAAGACTGCATTTTACTCACACAGACTTAATATTTGTACCACATTATGGAAAGTTTGGGGAATTATTCCAATCCTCACACCTGTGTTCATTCCAATGGCTCATTCATTTTTATCTGTATACATTTTTAAAAGACTATATGTTATTGCAGGACTGTGAAAAAGATGTGGTTAGAAATCTGTGCACTAAATATGGCCACAGCCTGAAATAAGAACCTGGGTGGTATTAGCAGCAGCCAGCCATAAAATCAACACCACCTTTCTCGATGGCCACACAAAGGATTTTCTTCTTCACTTTCCCCCACCCGCTTAATGCATCAGGATGTATACAATTTGTGGAGGTGACATATTTCAGGTATCTACAAGGGGCATGTAGGTTACGAACAGAAAAGGCCGGGTGAATCCTTGACATTTCTGCTCCAGCAAAAAATAATAAACACTTGTGTTTACTTTGGCATTACACAATATACTTACTTTTTGCTTGTTTTTGTCCTCATGGGCTATGCTGAGCTACGAATGGCGGGAGGACAAGGGGGCACATTGTGGCTGGGTGGCTAAAGGCCAAGCAGTTGAAAAGTTATGGTTTTGATTAAAATTGACAAGTTAACACTGCTTAGTTTTGTTCTTCTCATTTCTAATTGTTGTGGGGTTTTTTTTAAATTCCCGCTTCAGAAACAGAGATTTGAGCTTTCATATCTGGCATAAGAGGAGGGGGTCCTCACTTTCCTCCAGACTGTTCTAGTCTCTCTCGGTTGTTACTTTCCACTTTGGTGGTCAGGCAGCCCAGAGTGAGAAATCAGAACTTGTTCTATCATTCGGTTGAATATACATCAATATGTTACTTCAAAACAGGAGAATAAAATTTAAAACATGGCAAAAAATGTTTTATGGGAGGTGGATTAATGATGTCACATCTACAGCCCAATCAGCACTAGAGAGGGAAGGATTTGTCAATTTTGTTTCTTTCAGTTTCTCATTTTTCCATTCTTAAATTCAATCCTGCAGCAACTAGCAATTTGAAAAAAACAAATCGTTAAAATTATTCAGCATTTTAGTGTGAATTTCTCCTAAGACACATATTTGTATACAGCAATAGATTCATTTTTGTAAATATTATTTGGCTGGAGAACTCCCTTGAAAAATTCAGATAAGTGCAGATTTTGATGGTTATACTTGTTTTGGTGCTGACATTGTTTTGGAATGTATGAAATCGATTGTACTTTAATGAAACTGAATTGAAATGCCCTCCCATTCTTAACCAACTCTACCCAAATGACTTCTGCTGTAGACAGAGTGAATTGGGACTCAGCTACACGGCTGCAAATAAAACATCTTAAATGTGTTGTAGAGTGCAATATACAAATGTGACACTAGATGACAAAAGTGAGCTATGCAAAATTCAATGTATTTTTCAAAATGTTTTTTTAATTAAAAAAAGCATTTTCACAGCGTTTTTATATGTGTGTAGATTCCATCTTAGTTTCCCCTGAGCTTGATCCAGAAGATATGATTGTTTAGAAATACAAACACAGTGAGTTGCACTTCCACAGTGGGTTGTTCATTGCTAAAATAATTGACATCTGAATATAATGCTTTTCTCTGCAAAGATGGACAATGAGGTCATACCAAAACTTTAAATGTATCTCTTTTATAGGCCAATTTGGCTTACCCTGAAGAATCACAGGAATTATAGGATTGTAGTCAACAAATGTCTACTCAAAGTAGACTCGCTGAAATGAATGGACTTAAGTTAGCCATGGTCATTCATTTCAGTTGGTTTACACTGAGTGAATATGACCCATAGCTTGGTGGTATGATGAAAACATAGCAAAGCTTATGTTAGGATTCCTTCCTTCCTTCCTTCCTTCCTTCCTTCCTTCCTTCCTTCCTTCCTTCCTTCCTTCCTTCCTTCCTTTGATTTATGAATGCCTCAAATCTTTTTCGCATTGTGTAGTTACATTAGTCTGCCCACCAAACCCAGCTACAAATGGACAGTTATTTATTTTCCAGTTAGCCGGTGAAGTCAAGGGCAGACAGAACAAACAAGGAGCTTTTCAACACAATGCAACGTAGACGAAAATATATAAACAATCCCAAACATTGATTTGAGTCAATAAACAAAGAAATGAGACCACGGCAAACAAGCAGAGAAACCCCACGGAAGACAAACGGGAGCCACATCAACCGCACTTGTTTATTTTAAAATGTGAATGTATTTCACTGTGGGGACCAAGAG